AAAAAACCACGAATAGATTGATTTTCTTCTTGAGAATAAGACTCTAGTTTTTTAAAAGCTAGCTCGTTTTAATTCACAGACAAAAACACTCCATGTAGTAAATGATGATTGATTATATTTGAACCATTCCAAAGCATCACCACATAACGAATATAAAATAATATCTAATCGAATAGCATCTGAGATATGTGCTATATTCAGCAGATGTTCAATATCTTCGAACCATTTATTGACATCATCTTTATTTCCTTTGAATGTTTTAGGATTTTTGATTAAATCTCCAACAATAGCCTTATATAAATCACTTAAAGTTTGATCAGTTCTAAAATTAACGAAACTATCAGAAATTATTGTTGATTTTATGACTGATTTCCCACCATTATTATTAGTGACTTCAGCATCGTGAGTATCATCGTTAGCGAATATAGATGATTGACGTATTACTGTTATTAATAATAGACGAATGTGATTTTGGTACTGAATTAGTTTGACAAGATGTAGATACTGTAGATGACTTACTAACAACAAGTTGAGATGATTCAGATAAGTGCTATGACTCAATCTCTGTATCATAATGTAACAATAGGAATTCACTAAAGTCGTCGAAGCTACGTATTGCTTTCGATGCTTAATATATCTATATCGAGGTTCGCCTTCAACTAGCAAAGGAACAGTCACATAACGGAGGTTTCTTACAATACGAAAACGATTAAATTATTTTCGGTTTCTTCAAGCCATCGTAATATATTCTTTTTTCCTGTGAAAGGAACAAAATTGTTTTAAGATGAAATCATCAAAACCTTCATCATTCTTTTCATCTTCACTGTGTACTCGATTTTCTAATTTATCATCTACATTAGACTTTCTTGTTGAATGATTAACTGTAGTTGTTATCGTATTGCTTTCATACTGATTTATCAATTTTACCAAGATTATTTTGTTGAAAAATATTTTGGTCAACAATACAAAAAGCTTTTGATCTTGATGGACTGATTCATTGGTAGTATTAGCAATTCCATCAAGATCTCATTTTTCACATGATGCACTACGATTATCTATTAATGTAACAATTCTTTCTTAATTATTAGTCTTCTCTTTGCTATGCATAGTCAATAAATCTTGTTCATTTTTTGGTCCATTTGGTGTCGGTATAATAGCATTTCTCCTATCTTTATTATGAAATTTTTTTGTAGTTGTTGGTTGAATTTTTGTTGATATAAATATATCAGCATCTATCGCGTATTGTTCCTATGAAGAACCACGTGAGAATGATTTCGGTATAGCAGTTATACGATCTGTATTATCCATTTAAATTTCCGTTAGCGATTTTATTTAAATATTATTACATAATAAAATGAATAATGAGCAAGATAGGCGGGATCAATAGATTATTACGAGAAAACTCACTACGAAAAATGCCTACCGTAATTTGGGAATAATGATGAATGGTAGACAAGGATGAATATAATAATCTTATTGATGCTAATCAATAAAATATAACAACAAATACGTAGTAGAAGCTATCAGCAGATTCGAGTATTTCCTGCTGACATTCGCCTCTGAACTTGTGATGACTCTAAAAGTGGTTATGATGGATGCAGAATTAAATTCTGCATCTGGTGATGCCACTTGAGAGGGGGTCGTCGACCAAAAAATGGGGGTTGTGGGTGAAATACTGGGTGAATCTACTATTTGAGCGAATTATTCTTGCGGATATACATGTCTGACCCTGTGCTCTGTCTGTTCTTGATTGGGGGTAAGGGACACTATTGTGGTGGCAGATTGTAAATTAGAACTGGTTTTAAGCAGCGCTTGTGAAAATTACTAAAATTTGGAAATTCTAAAATTTCGAAGTAAGGGTGCGCTATAATTTTTTTAAAATTCCATTTTGTGAAAAATTGACTTGAATTATGCGAAAGAATTTAGTAAACTTTTTTAGCGGATTATGGAATATATAATTTTGAGAAAGTATTTGATGTTTGACGTTGTAGATATTTCCTGAGACTTTTAAAAAAATTATTTTCTTTAAAAGCGGAAAAATATCATTATTGGGTGTGAATATCATTCGAAAATTAAGTTGGATTTGGAAGAAGTAATCTGAACAATGCTCATTATGGAGTCATTGTCTATTCACATATATAAGTCAGTCTATAGAGTCGTTATGGAGTCACTATTTTCTGTAACATGTTTAGTACGCATTTATACCAAAACTGGAACTATCCATTAGTCTTTTTGAGGTGTATTTATATGAATTCATTATTATAAATTTGTTAAAGTTAGGATTATAATGCTCTATTTATTTTATTGTAAACATTTTCTTTTAGAAGCAGAAAATCTTAATTGACTTTCAAATTCATAGAAAATGTTCCAATCGATGAATATAATCCAGATTTCTAGGAATACCTATACGAATTGACTCTCGGGTTTCTATTGAGGAAATCGAACTTGTAATCTTTACTGTTTTGAATATCGTATTTTTAAGAAAATAAGAATTTGTTGACGAATTCGTATGAACGTTCTTGGAATATTTTTTATCATACTCAACAAGTAACGCTCGTCTTGCGGACTCGCTCAGCTCTTTCTCGTAGAAATCGTATTCTACAATACTAAACTTTTTGCTTATACAGTTTGGAAAAATTAACACCAGATTTGCGTTCTTCCACCCCACTTACCCTTCGGTCACCCCTTATGAAAGTTTTTTTTTATAAAAGTTGGTTCTCTCCCTAAAAAAGTGATACATAAAATTATTTAATAAAACTATGATCAGGTTCGATGTCTCCGCATCGAAATGCCCCAAAAATGTCTTCTCTAAAAAATCGATTCTCGAATTACCCTCTGGTAAAACTTTCTTGGAGCTATCTTTAAGATTAATAATATTAATTAATTGTTAATTGATTTTTAACTAAAATTAACCTCACATTCGAATTATTGGCACTCGATTACCCTTCGGTCAAACTTTTTTCAAAAATTTATAATATCAATTATTAACAGATTATTAACTAATTGATTTTAATAAACTAACCTAAGATTCAAGTTCCCCGCCCTCGATTACCCCCCCCCCCCCCCAGTCAAAGTTTTCCGGAAGTATCTGACAAATTAAATTTCAATGTTTTTTTGACCCTGCGGACATACAAGCAAGCAGACAATTTATGTTTACTGGACTCTTCTCTACGAGAAAGAGAATATTCATTATAATTAATGAGAAAAGAATAAATCAGAAATCAATTTTCTACATCGTAATTTTTTTAAACTCTGCTTTTTGGAAAATCGATCTTAAATAAGAATAAGCATTTTATAAATTTTTGATTTAATCATTGAATTTCTATAAATATGAAAATGCTTGATTTTTGAATTTATACAAATGAAATTTAATTTTCGAGAAGATTAATTTTCTAAAAAGGAGAAAATAAAGAGTAATTGTGAATAAAAATCGAAAATCAACTTTGATTTAGGAAAATCATTGCATTAAATGGGACATGTCATACTTTCTATTCTCATCTTAAAAAATTAATCAATAATATTGATCACTAGGTTTGACATGTAACATGTGACTCGTATAATGAAATGAATTCATATTATGTTCATGCATAAAAATGTTTCATTTCTGAATTTAATGAAATAAAAAACTTTTATTTCAACTTATTATTTTTTTATTTAAATCGCCTAACTCTTCACGTAAACAGTAAGTTTTTATTTTCAATATTTTTTTTCTTTTTTAAGCCATCCGATCGTTTCAATAAACAATATCTTTTTATTCAAACTAGCTATCTTTTTTTTTTCTTTCGATCATCCAATCGTCCAAATAATCAATGAACTTATAATTATCATAATTATTATGTTTTCTTTTTTTCTGGATTGTCCGATCGTCCAAATGAACACTAAGTTTCGTTTTTAAATTATTATTTTTTTATATCTTCTTTTTAGATCATCTGATCGTTCAAATGAATAATAACTTATTTCACTAAATTGTCATAACTGGTTTTTCATTTTATAAGAGAAAATCGAATTTGATTTTCTACTTTTTAGAATATACTCGAATTGCTAGATAGAATCCGACATTCTAGGAATGCCTATGCAAATTCATTCTCAGTTTTCAAATTAGAAAATCAAAATTCATATTTTTCATGTTTTAAATATCTTATTTTGAAAAATTTCGAAATTCATCAGTGAATTCATGTACGCATTTCTAGAATATCCTTGATAAAACTCTATAACTTATTTTCTAGTTTACAGTGTATTTTTTTGAATTCATTACAGATAGTTAGAAACAATCTAAATATCAATGTACTTAAAACGTTTCTATTATGCCATAGTTTGTCGTCGACCAAAGTAGACGAAATGCATTCTATACACATCACCCACGTCATACTAGAACCCTGTCACACATCTTATTTACCAAACGTCTTTAGCGCTTTAAAACTTCAAGCCTTGTCAAGTTCACTTTCCACGGAGTTTCCAGTCAAATTGTTAACACAAGACTACGATCTGAATTCTATATAATTAACAATACATGAAACAACCACAGTATTCTACTTTCACTTCTTTCATTATCGATTCGGTTGGAAGCTTAATATTCCTGACATGCGCCTATAATATGGGTTAATAAACCTACACCTACCACTAACCAAGGCCCGCAATTCGTCTTCTCTAATGTCTGAATAGTTTTATTGCCATAAAAATCCAGGAGAATTTTCAATCATGCACGAAAGTAGATGTCTTCTCTTCTGCTCATCTTTTAACATTGTAAAGTATGAACACATATCTGGTAAAACTATCTCTATAATAATTTCCAACGATATATAGAAAGTTGATTACTGATTTATTCTCTTCTCATTGATAAGAAAGGATATGTCAGTGAATTAATATTAGGAGGTCGACAAGTACTATTCACTTTTCCAATCAAAGAATTCAGACTCCTGTTTATTTGTCAATATATTTCTCTTAATTTCAGGAATACTACGAATTTACGAAATTTTGGAAAATATTTAAAATTTTAATATTTAAAAGTTTTACAAACTTTTTACGCGCAAAGTTTATAATCAGTACTAGTTCACAATTCGTCAACCTATCATTCTGAATGTCGCACGATCAACTATACACATTCCACTCGGACAGCAATTTATATGTGCCAAGCACATTGGGTGAAACTACTATTCCATTCAGTATTTCACCCAGTATTTCACCCAGAACCCCCATTTTTTAGTCGACGAACCCCTTCTCAAATGGTAACATCAGACGCAGAATTTAATTCTGCATCCATCACAACCACTTTTGGTCGGATCACAAGTCCACAGGCGAATGTCTGCAAGGATCACTAGTGAAAACCGGAATTCCACCCAGTATTTCACCCGGAACCCCCACGTTTTGGTCAACGACCCCCCCTCTCAAGTGGCATCACCAGATGCAGAATTTAATTCTGCATCCATCATAACCACTTTTAGAGTCATCACAATTTCAGAGGCGAATGTCAGCAGGAAATACTCGAATCCGCTGATAACTTCTACTACGTCAACAAATGAAGAATAACACAGGCAAGAATCAAAAGGAGGATCAGAAGAGAAGGAAAACAATAACTGAATATATATGAATACATTTATATATATTTAAAAACATAGAAAGAGAAAGAAGAAAACAAAAAAGATGCATGTATAAATATGTATATATAATATATATGCAGTCATTGGAACCACACATAGAACAGAAAAAAAGAAACAGTATATATATATATATATATATATATATATATATATATACGCTTGCAAGCACAGCTCACACTCTCATCACGCCTAATATGCCCATCATGCTCATCAAGTCCTTTATGTCCATTATATTAATTATGTCTATTATACCCATTAGGCCCATTATAACTATTACACCCATCATGCCCATTAGGCCCATTACGCCTATTTTCCCCATTACGTCTATTATCCCCATTACGCTCATTATGTTTATTATGCCTGTTATACCCATTAGGCTCATTAGGCTTACTGGGCCCATGATACCCATTATGCCCTTGATGCGTATTATGCCAATGGTGTCTATAATGCCTATTAGGCTCATTATGCCTATTAAGCCCATTATGCCCATTACGCCTATTATGCCCATTATGCCTATTAGGCCCATTAAGTTCATTAGACCCATTATGCCTATAAGGCCCATTATGTTCATTAGGCCCATTATGCCTAGCTTGAAAAGATCTATTGAATGATATATTAAAGAAATGTGACAAAAATGTAATTGTAATTTATATATGATGAAAAAAATGAGTAGAATCTTTGGTAGGGGTATTGACAAACTAATAGGCACTGATCTCACCTAAAATCTTATAGAAATAAATTCGATTTAGCATTTAAATGATCAGAAAGCTATAATCTATCAATTTAAGTACGAAACAATTATTTTAGTAATGAAAATTAAAAGAGACCAATATACGTCCTTTGGCATTTGGCTACGAAACCTATTTTTTGTGTGCTGAACTTAAAAAGAAGATTTCGTAGGATGAAGGATCTTTTTACCGATATACGTGACGATCCTCTAATGATTTCAAAACGATAAACATGTTTGTAGTCTTTTTCGTAACGACGGAACCTTTTATGGGGGTTCAGTAGAACACAGATTTTATCCAGAGTGAATATATCACAACAGAAGAAACACTAAAAAATTTCTACAATCAAAACTTACCCTGACGATAGAAATGAAAATGAAAAATGACGCTCGAAGCACGTTGTATTCTCTCTTCTCAAATAGTTGCTTTTCTTTTATTGGCAGAATCTCCACATTCTTCAAGCAGACTAATAACTGATGTAAAAGCAAACAAACTGAGAGAATCTTACCACGACAACAGAAAAGAAACAAACACTTTTTTATAATTCATGTTTATCGAACGAAGAAAAAAGTCCCACCGACGGTGAAGAATGGTTGTCATTCTTATGTATTTTTTTATTTTCGAAAACGATGTGAAGAAAATGTTTGAATGAGTAACATCACTGAGGGTGTGGGAGCTGGTACTATTCATCTATATCAAATCCACACCCACTTCGACATTAACGCTCATACCCACACCCACACCCTCAGGATATACTTCGATCTGTAGCTATTCACATGAGCTATCCAATGAGTAATATTCGACTTTAGGTATCTTCAGTTTTTATAAGAAATTATTTGTTAAAAGATAAAAATTGATGATAAATATAAGAACTATTTTAATAGTCCTTATGAGTATATCATATCTCTTTCTCACTAAATCAAATAATCGATTGCTGACTCATATATATATATTAGTGAACTTCTATCAAACAGCTATTAGATACTTAGTTATATAATTATTTTTCTCTTATCAACTTATTCTAGAACTGAGTAGACAATGATAGGATTAACTAATGAATTAATGAGCAAAAATGTTAGTTTGAGCATGTTGTTTCAATTTGTATATAATTTAACGGACCGATTTGGCTTCTTATGCGTTACCATCCTTTCTATTTCTGTTGTATAAGACTATGACTCAATTATTTGTCCTTCAAAATTTTTTTTTCTATATTTTAATCTTGTTGAAAAAGAAAAACATCAAATGTCTTATTTACTTTCATAAGAAAATGAAAGAGAACGAAAATTTTTCACTTGCAAATATATTTAATCACATGTTACGACATCGACGTTTTCTATTAATTTTAAATCTTAGTCTTTCATGTTTTCTTATCATTTTTTTAATACTACAAAGCAATGAACAAAATCCGGCATTAATTAATTATTGTCTTATAAATAATATAACATCAAGTAAAGAATTTTATACAAATTTAGTTTATATTCCAACATTAAATATTCTTTTTTGTGATGTTCCCAAAGCTGCATCAACAAATCTTCGACGTCTTCTTTATCGATATTTAAATCCATCGAATTCATTTACAAATCTTGATAGAAAACAAATATGGCTTGATCATAAAGATTTTTTTAAAAAATATTATTTAACAAAAACTAATTTTGAATTTATATTAAATAATTCTAATAGAAATTTATTTAAATTTCTTCTTGTTCGTCATCCATTTCAACGTATTTATTCAGTTTATTATGATAAATTTGTTAATAATCATATTGAGGATACTTTATCTGGTTGGAAACAATTAGAAGAAGATATTTTATTACAAATGAATACGAATCAAACATTATTAACAATAAGAAGAAATGATATTAAATTAGATTTTCGTACATTTCTTTTATATATTATTGATTCAATTAAAAGAAATCAATTAATTAATAGTCATTGGGAACAAATTGTTCAACGATGTGCATTTTGTTCAATTAATTACAATTTTATTGGTAAAATAGAAAATTTTCATCAAGATAAAAAATTTCTATTAAAAAAATTAAATCAAAATTCCAATAAAATTATTTTAAAATTTCCATCGAAAGAAATTGATAAACAACCCAAAAAACAAATTTTATTATATGATTCTCAATTAATTCAATTTTTTCGAGATACAATTCAAAATGATGATGGTTTTGAAATTTTAATTGATTATTATAAACCAGATTTTCAATTATTTAATTATGAAATACCAAATTTATAAAATATCGACATTTCAATTCTAAAAAACTATTTGTTCAATATAATATCATACTAATGAGTTTAAGAAAATTTTGTTTATGGAAAAAAAGATAAATATTTTGATATTAACAACATAAAATAAAGTCATGTTTTATATCCTATGAAATAACAAAGTCAACATATTGGCACTGTCATTATCAAGATTCTTTCAAGATTAAAATGATTTTTTTCTATGCACGAGAACACAGTAATAACTAATTTTTTTGCACTCTTTGCTTTTATCTGGAAAGAATCAAAATGATCACATGTTCTTTAAAATATTTTTCTACTACAAGATACAATAAGTACTTTTCTCTTTGAAAATTAAAGTAAAAACTTTGATCTTATTCTCTTCATGTAAGTAAAACATTTATGAAAGTTTTCTGCTTGTCAATCTAATTAGAAATATTATTTTTTCAGTGTATAATTAATGAGTATGTTGAGAAAGAAAAAAGAAAAGATACATTCTATGAAAATAAAATGTCACTGATATTTAAGTCAACTGACTAGCAAACAGCACGTACACATGTCAATTTTAATAATATTGTAAGAAGATAAGAATTAGAATAAGGTTTTTACAGATTAACTGAGTAAAAAAAGTGTATGAATGGGTATAATAGAAGTTCGCCTAAACTATAGTAGACTTCCAAGTACAAAATATTAAACATTATAATGAGCATAAGTCATTGAGTGTAAGATAAAGTTTTGAAATCAGTTGGTATATTCAATTAAGCTGATGTGATATTTCATATTGTTTATAATCATCAATGTCATGAATTTCCGGCTCTTAAGATGTATATGTTACTATTATGCAAAAATATTTCGTAACCATTATAGGCTTACGCATAGTTTTTTAACTAGTATCTAAATTATAATCGAATCGAACAATTTTTGAAGATCTCTAAACAGTTTAAATACAATCATTGCCATATCATAAAATGTCTATTAGCGCAATTCCCGACGGGATTAAAATGTGAAACATGATCTAGCTGTCTTTCTTAATCACAGGAAAAGTTTTCATATGTATCTATTATTAACTCTTATTAATTACAAGATTAATTAATAAAATGTTCGTCACGGCCCGTAAGATTAGGTTGCAGATCGATAGTGGGTATATACTATAACACTCTTTTTAAATCGTGTTTCACAAAACTTTTTTTTACACTCATCATTTCGATACAATACTTATCTATATTATATTTTTTTTTCGACTAGGGTTTTTAACTTTCATTTCATTACTTAACGACATATGTAATACTAACAGATATAAATAGCAATAAAAGAATGATATTTTCTTCTTCATGATATTTTATTTACATCTTAATTTTTAATGTGTATCCCATTTAGTAATAAATGCACTATTCTACACAATTACTATTATTAAACTTTAGATAAGCGTAGGCATTCATATATATGACATTGTTTTCTTTTTAGGTTTTGATCTACAACTTTAACTAGCTATATTTATGATTATATTTGTTTCTCTTGAGATATTATAGAATAGAATTAATTACATATCTATAAACGTGAATTAACTCTAGGTTATTCTTCGAGAGGAAAAGAAAACGAGATCTGACATCACTAACATCTGATGAAGAATAATAACAGATGATTGTTGAACAACTTGAAGGTTGGTAGATTAAATAAAATCTTTCGAAATATGTTTAAGTATATTTATAAAAAAAAACAATGATTTCTAATTCAAAATGAAAGTTTCAAAACTTTAATATTAATTCATATTGACATTTGAAAAATTTAATTATTTTGCTTATATATTCTGTATGTAATAAATAATCTACTATTTTATGTAAACGTGAAGTAGACATGAATATTTCGTAATTCAAGAGATTAGCAACATATTCATGTCAGAATATCTAAATATCTAGACTCTTACAGTAGAAATTTTTTTTATTTGTACTAGGTGAGTACATTATAGTTTTACTTCATACACAAACAACATCAAGAAATAAATATTTTCCTTCGAAACGTCATATAAACCTCATTATTGAATCGTTTATAAATAGAGAGTACGATAGATACTTTTCTGTTCATTATATTTGCTTCATTTCTATTTACTCCTTGAGACACCATTAATATTTATTTTACATGTCAATACATAATAGGTTTTCCTTTTCTATCTTCAAATACAAGCATAGGAACGTGTTCTAGTATACTACTTATCAAATTTTGTACATCCGCTGATTCTACTTATGTTTAATAGTCTCTATATTATTTTTATTTTAGAAATTAAAATAATCTCATTTATGAATACTTCAATTGAAATAACTACTGAATCATGGTTTATTCCAATAGATATTGTAATGATTATTTGTACTGGTTCCGTTGCTCTATTTGCATTGATATTTTTACTAATTCTTATTTTTGATAAAACATGTCGAACAGTATCAATGATACTTCTTTGTAATTCATTTTTATCTGAAATAATATTTGCATGTGTTATGTTAAGTATGGTTATATTTACACTTCAAAATGATATTAAACAAATTTCATATCAAGATTCACATTGTATTTTTCGTGGTTATATGAGCTATGCTGTATCTGCAGTACGTAGTCATTCTTATCTATTACAAAGTATTTATCGTTATATAAAAGTTGTTTATCCTTCTGAAAGATTTTTTCAATCAGCACATTTTCAAATTTTATTAATTTGTTTAACATGGATTATTTCTATAATTCATCCATTTCCATTTTTATTTACTAATCAAATAACATATAATAATCATAATCAAGTATGTCATATGGCTCTTCATCTATATCCATTTATATTTTATACATGTTTTTTGGCTTATTTAAATCCTATAACAATGATAATAATTATTTATTTTAAATTAGTTCGATATATTCAAGAAATGAGTAAAGTTGTTACACCAGTTAATCAATTATTACGTGCACAACGAGAATTAAAAATGGTACGTCGAATTGTTTTACTTGTTATTGTTCTTATAACACTTGGTTTACCTTACACAATATTTTTTTTTATGTCATTTTTTACTAATCCACCACAATATCATTTTCGTATTGCTTTTTTATTTGTTGATGTATCATTAGTATTTGTCATCATAGCTTTATTTGAATTTACAGATCCAATTAAAATATTCGTAAGAACAACGATAAATAAATGGATAAGTAAATAAACTTAATTTATTGTAAATTAACATTGTTTTATATAATAAACTTATAATAGAATTTTATTAATAAGAATCATGCAACGCTGAATGGAATGAATAAGAAGGCCTTTCTATTTTGTCCTCTCCTTTTTTTTCGATTTAATTTAATCATGACCTCGAATGGCTATTTTCTTCGTCTGAGAAGAAATGTTAAAATATATCCATATATGGATGAAAATTGTCAAGCAACATCATATGATATTTATCTGATAGAACGACAAAATATTACGAGAGAGAAAAAAAAAGCGATTAATCATAGTGTGAAAGTTATTGAATAACAATTGATATCAATTTTGGAAATGTGTATATCGATAAAATAACATACAAGAAGATCTGTCGATAACAACCTTTTTTTAAAGTTAAATTTAAACAAAATAAAAGTGCAAAATAATAGTATTATATTTTCTTTGCTTTTCGTACATTTTGGAAAAATGTACTTGTTCGTTATATATGTATACAAAAGAAACATTCGCTTTAATTTGAATACTATACATACGTCAAAACTCATCATAAGATATTACTTTGAAATGAATTGTTAAAAATAGTCATATCTAATATCTGCCTATCTCAATGATTATATGTTAATCAGTTGTACTCGATAAACATTCTATGATATCGACTAATCAGAAAATACGAGAAAAAAGAAATGAAATAAAGAGAATTTTCAAGTTTTTCAGTTAAATTATAGATGCACAAAATCAATGAATTTAAAATTTGGGCAAAAGATGATTTATTCAAGGAAAATCTTTGATTTCTAAATATAAGAAAATTCTAAGAAATCATATGCATTTCTTTCCAATCATAACATGAAAATGGAGTTTATTCTATATTAGTCATAAGATTTATTTAGTAAAATCTAAGTAATATAATACGAATATTTCATATAAAAATTCATAATATATGAATTCGTATCTCTGAAATTAGTAAATCGAATGATTTAAAACAATTTTATAGAAATTTTATGACAAAAAGTTTTCATGAAAAATCCGTGCTGTTCGTAATCGTCGATCTTTTTTCGTTTAAAGTGCTCGATTTTCCCATTCGAAACCTAATAAATTTTATATGAAATGAAAGAGGAAACTTTTTTCTATCATATAAAATCATTTTTATTTAATTTCATAAAAACCTTCTATTCAAATTTCCTAAATTATTCTCGAGATCTCCTCATGTCATTCATGTTTTTTTCACTTTTACCCTTTAAAACACATGAAAAACAATATAAAATCTCGAATTTTTTTATATAATCTTGTAGAAAAAATAGTTTTCTATTCAATGATATATAAAATATAATTAATTTCTTCGAAAAAAATCCTTAATTTTAAATAATATGTAAAAGAACAAAAATTCTTTTCTTCATCGAAAGACGCATTTTACGAATAGACGAACGAAAGGAAAGAGAAAAGAATTAAAACAAAGACATGACCCAAGTGAGAGTCGATGCGAACGATGTATAAATATCGATGCACAATCATCTATAACTTCATATAACAAGCGCAAATAACATCGTTAGGTAAGTCGTTAGAATATCTTTTCTCTTTATTTTTTTTTCTATTATAATTTATTTTATTAGAGTTCACCTCTCACTCTTCACTTTTCACAACACAAATTTTCTATTAAACCCAACAGTTCTCATCAGGTAAAATTAATTCAAATATATTTTATTTATTTATATATTTATTTTATCTTATCTAATAGAACTTTACATCAAAAATGACAGAAAATACATCAGCACCAGTTTCATCAGTTCAAAATGTTGCAAATGCAAATGCATCACCAAAAAAAGCAGCAGCTAAAAAACCATCAAAAGGAAAATCAACACATGGTTCATCTCATCCAAAATATTCGGATATGATTAAATCAGCATTAAAAGCTTTAAATGATCGTGGTGGAAGTTCACGTGCTGCTATTCTTAAATTTGTTTTGGCTAATTATTCACTTGATCCAGTTCAAGCTAATCAACATCTTAAATTAGCTCTTAAAAATGGTGTTAAAGCAAAAACTTTTAAACAAACCAAAGGTAATGGTGCAAGTGGTTCATTTAAATTAGCAACCAATGGCGATGGACCAGCCAAAAAGAAATCAGCTAAACCAAAAAAAGCTGCATCATCATCAACAGCAGCAGCTGGAACAAAAAAACGAGCTCGTTCAAAATCTGCTGGAGCAAAACCAGCTAAAAAGGTCGCTACTGCAGCTAATACAAATGCTGCTGCTGCAACAACAGCAACAGCTACTGGTGGTGCTACTGCAACAACAGCTGCTAAACCAAAAAAAGCTAAAGCTACTAAATCACGATCAAGTGCAACACCAAAATCAGCTGGTGTTAAAAAAGCTTCAAAACCAAAACAAGGTAAAATTTTTTTTGAAATAAATAAAATTATTTCTTATTTTTAATCTAATTTATTTTAGCTAAAGCTAAACCAACAACTGCAGCTAAACCAGCTGGTGCAAAAAAAACTGCAACAAAAAAAGTCGCAAAACCAAAAGTTAAAAAAGCAACTACACCAAAAAAACCAAAATCAACTGCAACAAAAAAACCAGCTGCTGCTAAAAAGGCTTCAAAACCAAAAGCAGCTGCCAAAAAAGCTGCATCACCAAAAAAAGTAGCCAAATAAAACCTCAATACAAAATTAATTAACAAAAAAAACATTTCTAAATCACTGTAGTTTGTAGTTGTCAGATATTAACTTTTCTCAATGATATTCATATGAAAAAAAAAAATTAAAACGAGCTTATATGTCTATGTGTGTGTGTCTATTGTTTACACTTGTATAAAAAAAAACAAAACATAACATTTGTGTGTGTTGAAGTGAGATAAAAGCATCAAATGAGTAGTTTAGAGGTTTTTGTTTTTTTCTCGAAATAAATAAACATTAACATTTAAAGATAATTAAACATTGTTCTTTATGAATATGAATAATATTCTTTTACAATCTTCAAAATAGCTTTAGAGTTTTTATAATAAACATAGGTTGTCTGCATATATTCAAAAGATTTAATCAATGATAAGATTTCTTGAAAATAACACAATGAAATCAACTGGAATAATTACACAGATTATCTTTCTAAACAATTTTAACGATGACCTTAAATGTATAGAATGAAATATTTATTCGATTTGCCATTGGTGATCGATAAACAAAAAGAAAAAGAGGAAACGTCTCTTAGAAAATTTGTTTTTCTGTATTCGTATTTTGACCTGTGTATGACCTTTCTTATAACATTTGAATTATATCGAGAAAAAAAATATATATGTAGCTAATCGGAATCGTCTACAGAATAATTTAACATGTCCATATCGATCCAATAAAAATTTATTCTTTTTCTATGGTGATAAAAGGTGAATTTACACAAGAAATACACTTAGACGAATTATTGATGTCATAGTCTTTCATCTTTTGATGAAAATACATTCTTTTGTTGTTAATTAGCACAGTATTATCCTTTGATTTTGCGCGTTACTTTAAAAGCTCTTATGAGTTCATTTACGCATTATCTAAATCAATAGTCATAAGTTTACAATGGAATCAAAATATTTTTAGGCAAAATTTGTTAGACGAAAAAGAAGCATTTATAGTTAATCTCAATATTACACTTTTCGATGAAAATATTGTTCAATCTAATTAATAGAAAATATTTAAAAATAAATTTAATTTTAATTTTTACTTTTGAATAATCAATTGTATGTAGATAAAATGTTAATTGTGTATTTGTTTTTAAATTTTCAATTAAACGTAAAGATATGATTGAATCAATATCTTCAATATTCAATTAAATAGAAATAAATTCTGATAAAATATTTCATTTACCATTGATATTTCTTGCAGTTACTCGATTATTTGATTCAATAAATGGTTTTGTTGAAATAATTCGTGAACCACTTTGTAAATCATAAAAACATATTTTTAAATTATGATTTTTATCATTGGAAAATGTTTTATTATTAACAAAAATAACACTAATACAAATAAATAATTATCGATGAAAAAATATTTCTCATACTTCCCAGATTTGAGTATTGATCGGAAATTTTTATCAAAAAAATCTCCTTCAATTATCTAAACAAGAAAGATACGACTATGAAATCCTAGAATCTATTCTTACTTGAAAATCGCTATAACTTTTACCAAACCATTTCATCCAAAACCGAAAATTTTCTTCAATTTTCTAAAAAGAATTTTCTATCGTAAATATTTTCATTTAATCTACCTTAATTGATGAATTATTTTCTATTCCAATAATTTTTTTACATGAAATCATTGCAGCTATTTGTAATAATACATGACTATAAGAACAATCAAGATGAATAAATATATCATCAGATCTTAGTGAAAATTTCGTTAATAATTCATCAATTAAATCAAATGAATATTCATTCGTTAGAAGTTTTGGGTTTACTGTTGATTGATTTTGTGTTTGTGAAGATAATTTTAAAATTAAACGAAGATGTTCACGTGAAGATATTTTATGATGTTTTTTATTTGATAAAATATTATTAACAATTTGATTATAAGCTTCAGCATATGCTTTTATTATTGTTAAACTATACATATATAACAAAGTAAACGAAATTTAAATTAATATTGATTTTACTCATTAAGATCAATATGTGTGCGTAATAATGTTTTTTGTGATATTGTTCGAAGTTCAGGTGTTGATTCACAAGCAAATCTAATTTTTGTAAAAAGATTAAATTATTTAACAAAAATCGAATGCTGACTTAATTATCTGAATAATATTATTTGTTGAATTTATATCATTCTAAATAATTTCTAATCGAAGAAAATCAGTTATTACAAATAAAATTTACCCAGTAAACATCAATATATGCATATGACTTGTCTATGGGACTAAGAAGTCGAATAGAATATGACACTAAAATAAATCTTATATTTGAAAGAAAAAAATATTAACAAATTCCATGATATATACTTCTGATAAGATTAATCTATATGAATTGTTGTATTTCAAGGTTGTCTAGGCAACATATTTCATTTCGTATATTGTAAGTAATAAAATATTAAAAACTAAATGAAGAACTCAGATTATTGATTAATCATAAAAATTCAAAGAAAGAATTTAGAACAAAAGAGCTTGACAATTTGTCCTATATCAATCTTGATCAATTATTTATTTTCTTTGAGTAATTGATATATTATTATTATTTAACAATGATAAGGATATAGATATAAATCAAAATGACTTTTCCATAAAAGAAATCTCTCGGAAGAACTTTGACTTCCTTAGATAATAATTGTAAAATACTTGAAAAAAAAGAGAAGTATGTCATCATAAAATGAATAATTGTTTTTATACTGTTTCTAACATTGCTTATCATAAGTTAACCACAGTAACCGTATAAGAAGACAAATAATGTCAATATTATAAGAGAACAATGATGATTCTTTTTTTCTCTTCACAGTAAAACAATCTATACTCATTCTTTCTTCTTTCTTTTTCCTTATTTTCTAACATTAGAGTCCTCTATCGTCTGTTGTATTCAGTGGATGTTCTTTAAAATAAGACTATACCTGATATTTTCCGTCTTAGAATGAATCATTACACAGGTATTCTTGTAATATTTGAATTATTTCCTTTTTAGATACTTCTTTCATAATCTTCAACATAGATTAATATGTAAATCTAGCTTTGAGATCACGATATTTTTTTTTTGTGAGTTTCGTTTTTACTTTTTTTTTTTGATTGTACTTGAATTTGAAGAGTAAAGACATCGATGACAAAAGATAGATAAGAAGAGTTCGAAGTATAGATAAAAACTTTGGTTTCATTTTCATAACCTTGAATAAATGTAAAAAAAAAAAGAATATATATACACACATCTATTTATTTTATGTATCTTAACGTATAGACATAAAATTTCTGTTACTTCTTTTTATGACAGAATTAATCAATTGATTAGTAGTGTAAGAAACAAAGAATTCAACATTTGATAAGAAACGACAAGAGAAAAGTTTGTCTATTAGTCTCATTTCTTTTTTTCTTTCTTTCTAGATAAAATGTAAAATTCCTTTCAATGGCATTAGCAAAAGGAATAAATCGATTACCAGAGAATGAAAATTTTATTTTATTTGCAGCTTGTGAACAAGGTGATTTACAAACATTACAAGATTATTTAAATCCATTAACAACAATAGATATTGAATCAATACGTGATGAACAACATGCAACACTTGTTCATTATGCTGCACGATATGGACATATACATATTTTAGAATATTTAATTGAAAAAAAACATTTGGATATTAGTCAATTACGTACAGAACTTGCTGCAACATGTGCACATGATGCTGCTGTTTGTGATCAAGTTCAAACACTTCATTATATATTTCATTATGATCAATTAAATGATAAAAATAATAATAATAGACAAAGTTTATCTCAAAAACTTCGTTGGAATGTTAAAGATGAACAAGGAAATACACCATTACACCTTGGTAAAAGAAAAGTTTGTTACTTTTGAAATCTAATTTATTTTTTTCTATTAGCCGCTGCTTATGGTTCAATAAGAACACTTCATTATTTACTTGAACATGAATCAGCTGATCCTCGTATACGATCCTATAATGGTTTTCAACCAATTCATTATGCAGCTTTATCTGGTCATAAAGATTGTCTGAAATTATTATTAACTACTGCACCAGATACAGTTAATGAACAAACAAGTACTTTATTAACACCACTTTATCTTGCTTGTCAATATGGTTCAATAGATCTAGTTAAAATTTTATCATCACATGGAGCTAATTTTAAATTACGAGATGAAAATGGTTTAAATTGTTTACATGCTGGTTAATAAAATTTACTTATATTTTTATTCAAATATTTTTAAATTTTATTTTAGCTTGTCAAAGTGCACATCTTCATATAGTGCAATGGCTGGTAAGAATTATTTTTTTTTGTAATGAACGAGAAGATATATATATTCTATTTTCTAGGTAGAGAAATTAAATGCTAATGTTGATGATATTGATTATATGAATAATACTCCTCTTCATTATGCAGCTGCAAATAATAGTGAAGATATTTTAATTTACTTATTAGAAAAAGGTGCTCGTATTACTAAATCAAGCCATGGAAATACTCCATTACATGTGGTTAGTAAAAAGTCTTTATAAGATTAATATATCTATATATGACATTCATCTGATAATCTTTTACTTCCTAGTCATTTTAATTCATTCATTTATCTCATGTTTGTAATTGTTACTACATATTTTCCTTGAGTCATCTACACCAGCCGCTTCTCAAGGACTTAACCTTCAATTTTTTTTCTCATTAATTTATAATTGTAATAAGACATGAGAAACCACAAGTTTCATATATTAAACGGAATAATTAATGTTCTATAAAATTATAGATTTTCAAATTTTCTTCACTTTTAATTGTAGGCAGCGGAAAATGGTCATCAAAGTATATGTGCTATACTAGTAGAACGTGGTGGTTGCTCTGTAATAACATGCAATAACTCTCAATTAACACCAATTGATTTAGCAAATCATTACGGTTTTTCGTCACTTGCTAATTCACTTCGTCTTCATGAAAAATCTTCATTACCTTCACAAAATGCTTCCGCAAATAGTAAAAAAATTCAATTAGAAAACGCAACTATTGTACGATTAGTTGTTAAAAAACCTCATGTTACTCGTAATGATGCATCGAATCAAGCTAATGAAAATGAGATAGTAAAAGATCTTTCTACTAATAGTGATTTTACATTACCAAAAAAAATAATAAATCCACGTTTTGATATTTCTGAACTTCGTGCTCGTGTCGATGAATATGAAGCAGTTAGACGTGGTCCAACAACAACTACTGATGGTAATACTAATGTTCTTATGCATAGTATGGGTTCTATTAATCTACAAAATCAAAATCGACGTCGATCAAAATTACCATCACAAACTTATGCACCATGGCTTAAAATGGGTAATATCTCATCAGAAGCATTCCTACACGAAATACAGTAAGTTAAAATAAATCAAAATAATCAAATATGTTTTTTTCTATTCTTTAAAGATAAAATTCAATGGTAGGTAAAAATATTTATCCAAAAAAAATAATAATAAACAAATCATGAACAATTTATATATTTGTTTTTCTCACTATTTTGCATGACTAACGTATGGGAATACATATATTGAAATAGATATTTATTTAATGCTT